CGTTATCACTGAGAGTGAGAAAGAAGTAAAATCCCTCATTTTGAATTGTCACCAGAACAAGAATAATGGGGAAATGTTCCATTGATGACACTTGTTCTAGTGACCCTGGTGACAACCAGGGATTTCCTTCACTTTGGAGGGATTTCTTCTCACTTCCTGTTGGGCTATGGTACAGCAAATCGTCCCAATTGGACACAGATGACACAAAAAAAACCTCCCTAACTCTATCTGAAAAAAAAAAGTCTGGGTTGTTAATCTCTACACTTGGTCAATTTGTTTTATGACTGCTTGAGAATCAGATGATATTCTATACCATGAATAAATAACTGATTTGTGAATCCTTTGCTAAACACAAGAAAGCAGCCCATGAAAAGGTTAGATCCCATTTACAATAACGGAGCTTTTCTATTGCAATGGAAAATGCACACCTAGGATTTATTAATGATAACCAGGAGGAAAGCCATTTGTAATGAACTGTGCAACAAAGACTTCCCTCACTGAGAGGTGGTGATAACGAGCCATTAGTGACATTTGTGCTGATGGTAATTGGGAAAATTAATGATCATTTCCTTTGTCTGTATACTAAGTGGTGTTTACTCTCAGAATTAAAAACTGTTCCTCTCTATGTACAGAAGAGATTTCATACAGAAGAACATGAGGCTCCGAGACAATGGTTCTGCCCTCTATAGAAGCTTTGAGTGCTGAGAGATTTGTCCTCTCATTTGGTAACCTCTTGAACAAGTCAAAAATCGTTGATGAGGTGTAAATAGTTGTTCTGTTTAACTAAAGAAAAAATTCTCCAAGGTTTCTCTGTGCATATGTAGACTGCTCAAAAAAGAAAGTGTCTTTGGTTGGCCATGAATGACCTGAAAATTTAACATGGTTTCCAGATACAAATTTTCCCTTTTAAACAGATGGAAATAAAAAGGGTATGTGAAAAAGTTTGCATTTCTCTATGCTAGCTCATCATCTAAAGCAGTAGGAAATGGGTTGGTCAGCAGGCCCATATCTGGGTCCCGGAGAACCAATAAATCAAGAAGTATTAGATACTTAAAGACACCACCAGCCGTCAACCGTCAGGGATAAGTAGAAATCATCAGTATTTGTTTTGTCATTGTAAACAAAATAACAAATAAACAAAATAATCTTTTGACTGGGTGACTGGGGACAAAGAGAAGGCAAATGTATTTAATACCTTCTTCAGCTCTGTGTATGCAAAGGAGCATGGGGGAGCTCTTGTCCATAATGAACATGGTATTCACACAGCTCCAGATGATCCACATTGGCTCACAACTGATATGATACAAAAATATTTAGACTGAATAAAGGTGAATAAAGCACCTGGACCAGATGGCATACACCCACGGGTTCCTTAAAGAATTTAGCTCTGTCATTTCAAAGCCATTGTTTCTAATTTTTAGGGACTCTTTAATGACTGGCATAGTAGCACTGGATTGGCGTAAGGCTAGGGGTGGACTGACAACTCATGGGGCCCCTGGGCAATAGGGGATCATGGGGCCCCTGTGTCCTTGCCCAAACTCAAAAAAGCCTATGAAAAAGGTACCAGGGGCATCTCATGGGGCCCACTACTGACCCCAGGCCCTCGGGCAGTGCCCGAGTTTCCAAATGGCCAGTCTGCCCCTGCGTAAGGCCAATGTGGTGCCAACAGGGGCGGACTGGCAACTCATGGGGCCCCCGGGCAATAGGGGATCATGGGGCCCCTATGTCCTTGCACAAACTCCAAAAACCCTATGAAAAGGTACCAGGGGCATCTCATGGGACCCCCTACTGACCTCGGGCCTTTTGGCAGTGCCCGAGTTTCCAAATGGTCAGTCCACCCCTGGGTGCCAATATTTAAAAAGGGGTCAAAACCTTTATCAAGTAATTACAGACCTGTTAGTTTAACTTCTATAGTTGGGAAGATGCTGGAGAGTTTAATAAAAGAGCACATAGATGAGTTCTTGCTGGAAAAACATATTTTAAGCAACAGACAGCATGGATTCATGAAAGACAGAAGTTGTCAAACAAATCTGATTTCTTTTGATGAGGGGGTGAGCAATATCTTGGAGAGAGGGGTGGCGGTGGACGTGGCAAAACGATCAACTACAAGGCAACCACTCTGAGGAGCTTTATAGGCGATTTTAAGTGACCCAGTTTACTTCCAAAGGTGGCAAGTACTAGAGTGTTAAGCTGAGTCACAATAGACCGCAATTTTTTGAAACAAGATTTATACCCATTGCAATTATAGAGTTATTTGAGCCCTATATTGAAGGGAATTTTTTTACTCAATAGGTATATTTATACCGTGTGTTATACAGCCAGTGGTAATGGGATATTAGTCTCACGTATCCCTATAGGAACTGCATCAGCTCTTACATAAGAGGAATTTTTGGAACCCCTAAAGGGGCACATCTAAAGGAACCATGAATGTCTGAATGCAATCCATTGAGACCTTTATATTTACAACTCTGGACTCCAACACCATTATCAACATATCCATTTTTTTCACTTCATCAGTGGGAATTTTTTCTGGTTTCCCTATTGGTAATTCACATTAGTCATATATGAATGATACTCATGCACCATTTTATACATCCTTTACATTATATTTTTTATTCATTCTTCTTTTAGAACCATTTAATATTTTGGATTCATTTCCATCTATGCTGGTTACTCAAGAAGATTTATACCCACAATTTATTTGATATGGCACACCCACAAAGAAGGTAATGAGATGTATATCAATAATCTAACTAACCTGTATATGTGCATCCTACTAGGCTGATATGAAGATGACAAGCCTTTGATTCTCCTGAATTCATGATAATCCACTATTTAATTCCTAGGATTCCATCCATACATATTTTGATGTTCATGAAGGAACAGTTAAAGAAGAAAACAAATTTACTAGGTCATCCAGTATGGAACTTTTCATCAGATGAATACAGAAGGAACTTTTACAGCCTTGCATTGATCACTTTTGCCCATACAGCCATTTTGAAGACGCCGAATGTTTTTTTATTTTAATTCTTTGATTTTAAACATGATTGCAACATGTTCACCATGTCTATGTCTACCTTTTTCATGATCCATGTGATCTAATAAAATCGTTATTGCATTCACTTATGTAGTGATATATTACTCCGCATAGGATTTAATTAACCATCTTTCAGGCGGCTTTGCACTAGTCAACTGCCATTTTGTTCTTCCAAGCATTACTGGGTTTACAATCCACACTTTAGTGTAAGTGAGTCTGAGATATTACAAGGATACAGTTTTGTATCAATTAGTATGGCAATCTTTTCTTATTTTTATCTGAGATTAAAAATCCAATTTCAGTCTTTGCAGATGACACCAAGCTGTGCAGTGGAATAACGTCTTTACAGGATGTCTCCAATTTACAAGCCGACCTCAATGCACTGTTTAATTGGGCAACTATGTAGAAAATGAGATTTAATGTTGATAAAGGTAAGGTTATGCACTTGGGGCTAAGAATATGCATGCATCCTACATACTGGGGGAGGGGGTACAATTGGGGGAATCAATGGTGAAGGATCTGAGGGTTCTGGTAGATCACAAGCTTAATAATGGCATGCAATGCCAAGCTGTGGTTTCAAAAGCGAGCAAAATCCTCTCTTGTATTAAAAGAGGTATAGACTCCAGAGAGAGAGATATATTTTACCCCTGTACAAATCATTAGTAACACCTCATCTGGAATATGCAGTTCAGTTTTGGGCACCAATTCACAAAAAGATCATTGGGGAACTGGAGAAAGTACAGAGAAGGGCAACCAAACTGATAAGAGGCATGGAGGAGCTCAGCTATGAGGAAAGATTAGAGGAACTGAATGTATTCTCTCTTGAGAAGAGGAGATTAAGGGGGATATGATCAACATGTATAAATACATCAGTGGTTCATATAGTGAACTCTGTGTAGTTATTCACCCTGAGGTCATCACAGAGGACAAGGGGGCACTCTTTACGTCTGGAGGAAAAGAGATTTAATTTCCAAACACGGAAAGGTTTCTTCAAAGTGAGAGCTGTGAAAATGTGGAATAGACTCCCTCAAGAGTTGGTTCTGGCCAGCTCAGTGGATTGCTTCAAAAAAGGCCTGGATTATTTCTTAGATACACAGAATATAACTGGATACTAACATTTATAGGTAAAGTTGATCCAGGGAATATCCAATTGCCTCTCGGGGGGATCAGGAAGGAATTTTTTCCCAGCAGGAGCAAATTGGATCATGCTTTGCTGGGTTTTTTTTTGCCTTCCTCTGGATCAACTGTGGGTATAGGATTATAACTTTTTTTTTTTTATTCTATGGTTGAACTGGATGGACTTTTGTCTTTTTTCAGCCAGACTGACTATGTGACTAAACCAGCTCTGAAAGGTGTCTGATATAATCTCCTTTAACAAGACCATTCATTGGTCATTAATGGTCATGTTCGGTCCCCCTACCACACACAAGTGCCTGAACATGTCTGCACATGAAATCACCATCTAGTGCTAATTAGCAGCCTATGGTGTATCTAAACCAAAGAAAATGGAATATGTTGCAGCTTTTCAGTCCTTCTATGTGGTGGCTGCATTAGTTTCATTTTTCCAGGCTTGTTTTCCTTTAATTTCACTTGTGATCCTGCCAGTAATACTCTTTCTATCCTAGGGTGGCAATTCTCACAGACTGTACTATATCTATGAAGAAGCAGCATTGCCAAATTAGGAAAAGAAGTGTTATAGGACTACAGAACACCTCCCCTCCCCATAAATTACTGGGAAGGTGTATTGCCATTAAAGAATATGTAAACCCTTTTGTAATGTAGACATCACATGGTTATCTAATTTTTTTTGTACAATTCTTTGGAACGGAATGCTGGAATTGGGGGGTTTAAAACATAGAGCTTGGTAATGATGCATGCGATACATTAAAGTGTTACTAAACCCACAACAGTAAAATCAGTCTGTATATGCAGTAAAGCATGCTTGTTATACTCACTGTGGAACCTAAGGGGTTAATCCTCTCCATTGTGTAAAAAGGATGTTTGATCCTGTCTTCTCTGATCTTCCCTTTCTTCCAGTTTCTCCCTCTTATCTCCTGATAAGACATATTGTGTAGAGACATGCACATGCTCTGTTTGGTGTGTATTGCTAGAGAGGTTTTTTTTTTTTTTCTTGCGAGAGTGCATGTGATCAGTACAGGGCCAATCAGCACTGTCCAGACAGAGGTCAGGGGTTCTACATCCTCCTAGAGAAAACTCCTCCTACAAGCTGTAACCAGTGCTCTGCTGAACACTGATAGAAGTCACAAGATTGCTATATATTGCTGATGAGAAAAGGAATTTAGCAGTTTATATTTACTAAATTAATTGCATTTCCATGTTCTGTGTGCTGTGGGAGACCAGATATAGTGAATGCAGGGTCCTGGGTTTAGTAACACTTTAAATGTGCAGGCCAAAAAGGATGAGGTGGTGAAGGCACTTAAACCCCTTCCTGTCCAGGCCAATTTTCAGCTTTCAGCGCTGTCGCACTGTGAATGACAATTGCGCGGTCATGCAACACTGTACCCATATGAAATTTTTATCATTTTTTTCACACAAATAGAGCTTTCTTTTGGAGGTATTTAATCACCACTTAATTTTTTATTTTTTGCGAAATAAAACAAAAAACACCTGAAACTTTTGAAAAAAAAAACACACTTTTCTTCGTTTCTGTTATAACATTTTGCAAATAAAGAAAATTTCTTCATAGATTTAGGTAAAAATGTATTCTGCTACATTTCTTTTGTGAAAATAATAATAATAATTGAATTTGTATTTTTTTTTCAAATGTTTGTATTATTTTTTTTTTTTATTACATTTTTTATTTATTTTACTATTTTATTTTTTAGCACACTGTGACCAAAGCAATACAGTGTTACCATAGTAACATTGAACTACTCTGGGCAAGTGATCAGGATTTTTTTTGTTTAACACATTATGATTGCTAATACCAATGTATTTCATTGATACGTGCAATCATTGTTACTGAATGAATCTTATTCATTCAGTCTTTTGTTGTGATTAGCTGTGATTGAGCAAAGCTGATCACATGATACAGATGGGCTGTAATTGGCCCTGTCTGTATCATGTGACTGCTTTGACCAGTCACAGCTAACAACATAATTGTATACAATGGATGGCATGACAGGAAGCCATCCATTGTATTCAATTGACATGTGACCTGCTGTGATTGGTCACAGCGGTCACATGACACTGGCAACGCGACACAGCTGGTGACAGATCGCGCCACAGCGTAGCCCCACGAGTGGTTCATTTTGACAGGACATCATATGACACCCAGTCACAATGGTAAGTGTCCCCCCCGTCAATCTGCTATAGGCCGGGTGGGAAGGTGTTAAAGAATATATAAAACCAACACTTCATATTCCTGATATGTGCCTGCTGTACCATGTACTTGCATGAAAAAATATCCTGTTGTCTTTTCATTGCTTCCTTTGTGTGAAATCCCTGGTGTTTCTGCCAGTCTCTGCTTTCCTATTAAAAACTGACTACACTAGGCATGAGAGCACACCGTGGTCAGTTCTCTAGCTGAGCTGGGAACTCAGCCTGTTCTCCTCTACTGATCAGACTTATCATGACAACTCCCCTCCTTCACGCACAGCGTTTCACTGGGAAGCTCTGTGTTCTGCTGTTTCTACTCCCCCAGCTCTTATGCTTGCCTTTCATTTCTATTTTAAACTAAATGGGTTGTTTTACAAGTTGATGGTTTACAATCACTTTAATAGAGGAGAACTCCGGTAAGGCTGATGATGTCTGAGATAACACTGCAGATTGCATGGGACACAAAACAGGGTTGAATGTCTAGTATGAACAACGGGTAATTTTTTCATTCAATAAAAAAATACAACAAATGCCTCAATGTTATATTTAAAGGTTGATCTCCATGTTTAATTTACATTTAAATAGTTAGTTTGGACCGAGCTGGTCCAAATGAACAACCATATTTACTTAATTAGAAGATGCAGCAGCTGTGTGCACTGTATAAACCAGATTCATAGACCCCAAATTATAGGTGGTCTATATGGACCCCATTGACCTGTTAAATTTGATCTCCATGTTTCATTTAACTTTGGACTTCACTAACAGTTGCAGTGACTGTGTACACTGTATAAACTGTATACAGTATACAACGCTGTGTTTCGGCAGCGGGATGAGAACTTCCTGCGCCACTCCATGAACAAAATCAAGTTGGGATGAGTGTTGCTCAGCCACTCAGAAGAAGCTTTGCATTTTATGAATGAATACAAGGCTTCTTCTGATTGGCTGACGTGGAAAGGCATGTTCATGATGTCACAAACTCTACATCAGCAAATCGAGGAGGCTTTTTATTCATTCATATAATACAAAGCTTCTTCTGAAGGGCTCAGCCTGACTTGATTTTTTTTCTGAAACTTGGACAGGATTTCCCCATTCTGCTACCAAAACACAGCACTGCATACTGTATGTATGTAGCTGAGGCTGCATACAGTTTATACAGTGTACACAGCCACTGCAACTGTTAGTGACGTCCAAAGTTAAATGAAACATGGAGATCAATTTTAACAGGTCAATGGGGTCCATATGGACCACCTATAATTTGAGGTCTAGGAATCTGGTAAGAGGCTGCTTTTGGTGGTAGTGGATACACTTTTCACAAGATTCTGTTGATGATGGACACTTTCTTCATGGGAGAATGAATTTGACAAGGACTTTGGTTTATATGTTATTTAGAAGTAATCACATTTTAGTCTATTGTTCATTATATTGGTTATTTATTTATATACAGCACAACATAAAAGAGAGGTTCGTTGTTAGGGTTTTCATACCCTTTAAAAATTATCCTTACTGTGAAATTTGAGTAATAATTTAATGTATGTCTAGCATCACAGATGTCACAGATAACTTTTCCTAATTGATCATGCTCCTCAAAAAAGGGATGTTTCTCACTTTGTTGAGCCAAGGCAGTGTCTTTCATTTTCTGAGATTTTTGCTTTTGAGATAAAAATGGTGTTAGGGGATATCTATTCACATACTGTAGCTATCTGCTGATGATAGGAAAGAAAGTCCAGCTGTGCGCATAACATGGAAGTCACAACAGATATTCAGAAGGCTGGTGTCAGTCGCATTCTAACAATTTACAGCACTCGCTGTTTGTTTACATTAGAAAGCTTGCAGGCTGTCAAGAATCTGCTATCAAAGAAAACAAGTAACTGTAATTGCACTGCCTATGTTGTAAACGTTGTAGATTAATTTCTCCACAATGCCTACAGCTACTAATGACAGTGAGGGTTTGTTTTCAAAATTATTTTTACTGCTCTTTAAACATATACAAATACTTTAATGCGCAGAGCCTGGGCATAGGTGTATTTTAGGTCTGGTTTAGGAACCTTTCGCAAGTACAATTGCCCTTCTTCCCCACTCCTCCACTTGTGTTCAGTCGCACTGGTGTTTATTTATTAAAGTTGGAGAGTGCAAATCAGGCTCACTTCTGCATAGAAACTAATCAGCTTCCAGGTTTAATTGCCAAAGCTTAACTGAACAAGCTGAGGTTAGAAGCTGATTGGTTTCTATGCAGATGTGAGCCTGATTTTGCACTCTCCAAATTTAGTAAATAAACTCCAATGTGATTTGAATGAAGTGTTGCAAGGCATGCTAACATCATTACCTCCAACAGTCGAACCACAGTGATCTCTATTCCAGTGCACTGTGATCTGTGGAGAACTCTGTGCTTAGGTATGCTTTATATTTATGCACAGCAACAAATCACCTTATAATATCCCAGAAAAGTTGTCCACCTCCACCCTTGAAGGTTAATTAAACAAAGATATAAAACTTTTCCCTTTCACAAATAAATGACAAAATAATAAAAATACAAATAAAATAAAAAATAGTCCAAAATATCAAAAATTGCCAAAATCAAAATAAAATTAAAAAATAATCAAAAATAATATCCAAAATTCAAAAATAATCCCCACAGGTGTAAATAATTCTCTTTCTTCTTTCAAAAACTCCTTCTCAATACCCGCAAATCCTGATGACAGTACACCTCAAAAAGAAAAAACTTGACATAGTGTCATACCTTTTAGATAATAAATCACACATGCCACTCACTGTGCAGCATGCAAAAACTATATATGTGTATACTCTATACACGAGTATCTATACACATGCATATAAATAGTGAATAGATATATGTGAAACACTCTCACATAGCATAGTGTCCTAAACCCAAAGTGTAAAACAACTCAAAAATATCACTGCAAGTGTGTATCACCACACTCCTGTATACATCAGTGATCACCTAAACCCAAAACGACACTCTCCAACACATATACTGATGGGTAATTACCCTATATAAGAAACATCAAGCATAACACCACTCAGGGTTAGATTTCTCCTCATAGCGATTTCATCCAATACTAGGGTTTTTCCTTCCATTATCCACAAAAAAAATCCACAATCCCAGATAATGTATGCATCCTCCTTTATTTGGTAACTCACATAAAATTTCAGTGAAAACAGCTCCTCCTCACAGGGAATCCAAGTGTAGACAGAATCAGGGAAACATTGGCCACATGTTCCCACTTCCAAGATGGCCGCGATCGCACTTCCGGTCAGCGTCAATACGTCTGACGTCACGTGTCCCTAAACACGTGACAAGTGACGTCAGACGTATTGACGCTGACCGGAAGTGCGATCGTGGCCATCTTGGAAGTGGGAACATGTGGCCAATGTTTCCCTGATTCTGTCTACACTTGGATTCCCATGTGAGGAGGAGCTGTTTTCACTGAAATTTTATGTGAGTTACCAAATAAAGGAGGATATTTTATACATTATCTGGGATTGTGGATTTTTTTGAGGATAATGGAAGGAAAACCCTAGTATTGGATGAAATCGCTATGAGGAGAAATCTAACCCTGAGTGGTGTTATGCCTTGATGTTTCTTATATAGGGTAATTACCCATCAGTATATGTGTTGGAGAGTGTCGTTTTGGGTTTAGGTGATCACTGATGTATACAGGGTGTGGTGATACACACTTGCAGTGATATTTTGGAGTTGTTTTACACTTTGGGTTTAGGACACTATGCTATGTGAGAGCGTTTCACATATATCTATTCACTATAAAAGATATGCATGTGTTTAGATACTCGTGTATAGAGTATACACATATCTGGGATTGTGGATTTTTTTTTTGAGGATAATGGAAGGAAAACCCTAGTATTGGATGAAATCGCTATGAGGAGAAATCTAACCCTGAGTGGTGTTATGCCTTGATGTTTCTTATATAGGGTAATTACCCATCAGTATATGTGAGAGCGTTTCACATATATCTATTCACTA